CACAAAATGGGAGTCAATTACGCAAAAAAAAAGCCAAAACCACATTCACAAAGGAAAGTCATACGAATGACGGTGTGAGCTATCTCTGTACCCGTCTGTGATGCGTGATCAGTGAGTGCCTCCCATCATTCCCCACACACACACACACACACGGGGAGGGGCAGCGGCCTTAGAGGAGGTGCAGCAGGAGTAAGGCACTGGAGAGCAGCGCTGGTGCAGCCTGGAGCGAGAGCCCAGCACCTGCACCGTCGGACAGAAAGGGCTCTGTGTTCCTCAGGAGCCACGCCTTCTCCTCCAGCAGGCCCTGCTGCTCCAGCTCGGGTCCCACCACGCTACGGATCTTCTTGTAGTGGTCGTCCAGCCATTTCAGCTGCGGGGGACCGGGAGACAAGACAAGACAAACTCTGTCTCGCAAATTTAGCTTAATCATCCAAGCATGTCTAGAAACGCCGCTACATGCTAATGGTGGAAAGCAAGGTAATCCAAGACTGTGTGTTTTTTTTCCACTTTACAGGGAGGCATTTTAGTAGCATTATGGGTTGGAAAGCAGTGGGGGGGGGCAGGAACAGGATTGAGAACCACTGTTCTAGAGAAATTCTGCTTATATACTTATAACCAGCCAGTATGTGGATTTCAGTTGGTTTGCGTTGCATTTGTTAAAGTGCATTATAGGTAGTCAAGAAGTTTATAATAGGAGGTAGCGTCTCTAGGGCATGGTAACAGTGGAACCTCATCCATCCACTGTGTTTGGAAGAACTCCTTTCAGAGGTTGACAGGCGAAAGGCAAATGTATTACGCTCTGTGCCTGTGCGACAAGCTGAACAACGGTGCTGTATGTCCACGTCAGTCTGGGTCTTTGTAGGGTATTGCACAGAAAATAGCACGAGGTACAGTAATGGGCCAGCACCTCATGATGTAACCTGTGGTTTCATTTTGTCCAGAAATCTAGCATAACTGGGTGTTCTGGGGGGCAGTTAAGCATTCCTTAAAAGGGAGCCCTTTGGTAATGGGTGGTGTGGGGCTGCACTTCACTGGTGCAATCATCCTTGCATGAATTTATAACAATTCCTCAGGCTTCTGTCACAATCAGCTTGCTCTCACCTGCTCTGGGCTCAGAAGGGAAGTGTCAATCAGCTTCCTGTCGTAAGGCACCAGTGACACGGTGTCAAAGGTCAGGTACCCCTCACCATGCTGACAAGGGAAACGGACACAGATGGGACATTTAGTGTCCCTGTACCCCTCCTCCTCCTCACCCTGCTCCTCTTCTGGTCAGCTGACACACGTGATGTGGTTTCAGAAATCACAGCACCCCTCGGTCTCATTAGATCACTTCCATCAGTAGTTTGCTCCAGTTATAATTATTAAACAATAGACTTGATAAACATTCCTCATATAACTTGCATGGAGAGTCCCACTAAAATCAAGCTGGCAGAAGAGACATGCACTGTACCTTTGTTTCAACAGCTACCACAACTGCTACATCCTCAATCCTTATTCCAAACTCATTCTCTCTGTAATATCCTGGCTCTGCATGAA